AATGCCGGTTTAACGTGGGATCTTCGAGCCCGTGGGCTCGGCCAAAAATATACCCATTGAACCCGTATAAACGGGCTCAGGGTCGGTTTACCTCCCCGAAAGAGACTCCGCCCTTCGGCGTAGCCTTGTTCGGGTTCCTCCCCGCCCGAAGGCAGAGAGTTTAACCGATCAGCCGGTCAAGACTTCAGCGACTGACGATATTCAGTCACCCCCCCCACCCCTCCACACACACACACACTGGGGCATCATGTGACACAAGGTCGGTTATTTATTGTGGGTTCTCCGAGCCCGTGGGCTCGGCCCCAAAATATGCCCATTGAAACCCGTATAAACGGGCTCAGGGCCGGTTTACCTCCCCGAAAGAGACTCCACCCTTCGGCGTAGTCTCGTTCGGGTTCCTCCCCGCCCGAAGGCAGAGAGTTCAACTGAAACAGCCGGTTCAGTGGTGAACGACGGACTCACGATATCGAGTCACACCCCCACGAGGGTGTCATGTGGCACAAGGCCTTTTTAACGTGGGAATTCCCGAGCCATTAGGCTCGGCCAAAAAATAGCCCATTTGAACCCGTATAAACGGGTTCAGGTCCGGTTTTACCTCCCCGAAGGAGACTCCGCCCTTCGGCGTAGCCTACTTCGGGTTCCTCCCGCCCGTAGGAAGAGAGTTCAAACCGAGCAGTCTGTTCATAAGTGAACGACGGACTCACTCTTTGCCTACTCTTGAGGCGCAGTATTTATTAAGTATGGAATAATCCATTATTATTATTATGGGTAAGATCTCATAACATATATATATATATATATATATATATATATATATATATATATGTATTATTAAACATAACAGATAATGAATGTCTATTATGTCTGATCATAAGCCCTTCGAATGTTTGCTTTAATTTCTGGTGAAAATAAAGACAAAAAAAATTTTCCAACATTTGGATATTTTTTTTTTATTTGGTTGGTCCTAAACTTTTGGCTTATATGAGCCATCTTCATATACATACATACATACATATATATATATATATATATATATATATATATATATATATATATATATATATATATGTATGTAAATAAATTCAATTAAAAACAGACAACCTTAAGGGTCCATTGATTATATTTTATTTCCTTACGAAAGTGGTCTTTTCCTGGTTCCTCATGTCACATTTCCAAGTATAAAAGAAAATGGTTTAAAATTTACATTTTATTATCTTTATACAAGCTTTTGAGGTGATAGATAGAGGGGGAGGAGGACGACAGATATGGTCGAAATTAGAGGAGGAGGGGAGAGATAGAAATAATGTTAAATCTATTTTTATTAAGATATTTAAGAGTAAGGGAGGGTGTAAGGACCAGACATTGACCTATTTAATAAGTCATCTCATATATATATATATATATATATATATATATATATATGTGTGTGTGTGTGTGTGTGTGTGTGTGTGTGTGTGTGCATTATGTGAAAAAATTGCTTAACATTTTAAATATCAATTTTTATCCCGACATCGATGTTTCCTAGTAAAATATCCAGTCTTTCCTGAAGAGTTTTAATATTTGATATTTAAAAAGTTAAGTAATATTTTCATAGAATATCATTAACACTCTATTTTAATATATATATATATATATATATATATATATATATATGTTAAGAAATGGACAAGGTCCGACAATTTATTTATTAAAGACATTTTTTTTTTTTTTTTGTTTATATATATCTATATATATATTACTTCGTTTTATAGTGACGACGATTTAGTTTCTGAAGAAGTGTCGGGCAAAAGGCGCCTTAAATCTTAAACATGATACTTTTATATCTATTTTAACAATAAAATTATGATCCATGTCTTTAAAACTATTTTGTCCTGGTGTGGCAAGAAAAACCCGTTCATATATCAATATTAATACCTATCTATATGTATGTATGTATGTATATGTCTATCTATATATATATATATATATATATATATATATATATATATATATATAGATAGATAGATAGATAGCTAGATAGAATAATTGAAAATCTAGGTACGATTAGGAACGGCAGAGACAAAAACATTGAGAAAATAGCCGATGATTAAACAAGTAATGCGTAGAAATGCTGATCTATTCAGGAAGGTACTATCAATTTAAAGAAAATACACACACCGTATATATTAAATGGCATTTAACATTAGAATGCGTATATTCAATAACATACATTGCGCCAGGTTTCGTGTAATGATATATATATATATATATATATATATATATATATTTATATATACATTCTTGCTCTGTCCTGGACATTGTGTTCTATATGGATTCTACCTTTTGTAAATTTATATACATATATATTTCTTGACCCTGGACATACTATTATATCTCTCTCTCTCTCTTCTCTATATATATATATATATATATATATATATATATATATATATATATATATATATATATATATATATATATATCAAGACCCTACACGGTGCATGGGATACATAAAAAAATCATTTTGATCGTTTAAATTACGTCACCGTGATTGGCTTGAAATTAGTTCATGCAAAAGTGAGAAGGCCAGAATTAACCAAAATCAAATGAAAATAAATGTAGCAACATTCGAAAGTACTCGGGAAAAAACAAAATAAAATATGAATAAATATGAACTTTGGTAAATTTACCGATTATATAAAACTAATTCGGAAATTTGAAAAAATGAAAAGAAATGGATACATAGATTTTGTTGATGTTATTCAAACAAATATATTTGAAATGAAACATATTTACGTACAAGCATAAAAATATCAAAAAATAATGAAAGAAAAATGTTTAATTCATACTTTATGTAAAAACAATAATAACAACAATATTAATTCACAGGGTTTTCCTTTTGTCATTAATTTTATTAATATATATATATATATATATATATATATATATGAAGAAACATAGTTTAAGGTATGCTATATTTATGGGATAAAGTGTTTCAGTATCAGGGATAGAAGGTATGTAAATATAAGAATGGACATTGAAATCAACACTTCAACGCAATCATCAGGCCTGATTATTGCATTTTCCATGAAACAGTCTATCACCTTTGATTGTTGACTTCAATGTTCATATATATATATATATATATATATATATATATATATATATATATATATATATATAATTAATTATTTAAAAGATATGATTCCAACGCTACATAAGAGTTCTCATGTTTCAAAACAAGAGCCGAAAACTTCAATATAATTATTTAAATTAAATTGAATTGAAGTACTAAGCTCTGTTTCATCTTCAAGCGAAATTTTTTAGAATCATATATATATATATATATATATATATAATACGTTGGAAAATCTGGAATAATATTCCTGGAATTATATATATATATATATATATATATATCCAGGAATATTATTCCAGGATAATTTTCCAATGTATTCAAGATGATCCTCGCCCTTTCTAATCTTCTAACGTTCTGTCCTTAAGTAACAAGTTGCCACACAGGTTTCACGTACGGTTTCCTTTTCAAGTCTTTTTTCTTTGGACTGTTATAACTGAAACTTCGCTTTCACGTGCCAAACGTCTTATGGATTGAGTTGGATCTTTTCTAATTGATCGCTTTATCTCTAAGTTGCCTCTAAGATTCCTCTTCCTGTTGTAACCTCCCGATGCAGTTTTACTATCTACTGTTTCCTCTTTATTCACCGTTCTTTTGATGGTTCTTGCATGGTCTTTGAAGAGGGAAGCCAGAATATGAATGTTGGTACTATTGCTGAAGGCCTGAATGTTCTTTTTCCTCTGACCATTTCTTAGTCGAGAAGACAGTAGGCCTGACAGAAAACAATTTTAACCTGTTCTCTTTCTAGGTGAATAACTCCAAAGTTTTTTTCAGTGATTCTTACGACAAATGGTATCCAGGCGACTAAACGTCTTATCTAAAAACCTGGAAAAAAAGAAACTCAATTAGTTTAGTGTTTTTTAGACATTAAACATCTTGTAGGATGGACAATTATGCTGTTATACGATTTGTACAATTTTAATGCTACACCCAGTATATGTGCGTGCTTATGTGTGTGTATTTTTGTTGGATGTATTATAATGTTTGAAACAAGAGTGAAGATGATGAAACAAAGTGGGAAATTTATTAACGACGCGTTTCGCTTAGATTCGCTTGAGTCTGAACATTGGAAGTGATAAAATAAAATAATTTAATTTAATTTTTTTTATAATTCTCACTTGTTCTCAAGTTTCGAGGCATTTTTCTCACATACTATTTTGTCTTTCTTCCAATCTAACACAAGGAAACTAAAGAGAGAAGACGTCCTCGGTGAAACGCGTCGTTAATAAATTTTCCACTTTGTCTCATCATCTTCAGCACCCTCCCCATGTATATATATATATATATATATATATATATATATATATATATATATATATATATACAGTGCAATCTTGGGTCTCGAATCTCTCACATGTCGAACAAATCGGTTTTCGAACAGAAAATTCGAGATGAAAATACCTCGGTTATTGAACAAATTTTCGGTTCTCGAATAACATTGCTGTACCGAGTTAATCCGAATGGAATAATTTCTGAGTTGGCAGCCGTATTGTATACATTCGTGTGTTGTGTTGTGCTTTTTATCCCAATTTTATTATACTGTGACTTTTCTCTACATTGGAAATAAGTTTCGGTTTACGAACGACCTTCAGGAACAATTAAATTCGTGAACCGAGGTTCTACTGTATATATATATATATATATATATATATATATATATATATATATATATATATATATATATATCCCTGTGGATCAGTTAGTAATAGCATATATTTTAAGCATGCGCACCGACACACACACACAAAGAAAAAATTGGTGATAAATCTTTATGGATTGACTTTTTAAAATAATAATTGCTATCCACGGATAACAATCAATCAGACATAGACACGCATCAACGTATGGTCTACTCTTAGCGTATATATTCCTATATAATTCCCAGTCACTGGTTTGCGCATGTGCAAAACTCTTTCACTGTTAATGGCGTCGCTCGTCCGATATCTTAAGCAACTTTTTCATTTTCTTTTTATCTCTCACATTTCCTCGTTCGTTGCAACGAGCAACAACAAGCAGAAACTGTTGCGTCTTCATTGTTTTGAAATTGTTGCACGGTCGTAAAAACTCGACTATGGAAGGCCCTAATTAGCGCAACAATCCAACCGTGATACGCCAACGAATTTGGTTCGCTTCCTTACAATTCACCCGGGCTTGATAAATTGGACGCCATGCTCGTTGAACAATGAGGAAAACGTGCGTTGTTTGCCTTTCTTCTATAGGAAAATTATACTCTCCACTTTCTTTCCTTATATTAGGCGATGTAAAGTAACTCCGAATTTAAATATATAGGTAATATATAGGTAACTGTGAATGGTAAATATGAATGTGTGCAGGCGTGTGTGTGTGTGTGTGTGTGTCCGGTTGATTGAATAGGTTGCGCGCATGTGTGTCCGTGCGTTTTTGTCTCAGGCTTTTATTCATAAAACAATGCAAGGAAAACAAAAATATCCGTGAAGTTTCTAATTATACATATATATCTGCGTGTAGGTGTGTGTGTGTATGTGTGTGTGTGTTTGCGTGTAGAGGTATGTATGTGTGTATGTGTGTTTAACTTCAACGAAAAGTGATACCACAGGTTTAAAATTAATTCTTAAAAATGAAAAATTTTTCATAAAGCTTTTATTTTAAATTTAATCTTTACAATAAGCAAAATAATTTGATGTATTTCAAACTGAATTTAAATTGATTGAAATAAGTTGTTTTTGCTTTGTTTTGTTTTTTATCAGTAAAAACGCTAAAGTCGTCTATATTGACAAATTTCTGTACACAACGTTTCAAAATTAAAATATACTTTGAATTTTTATTTGAGGAAGATTAGCTGATTGAAAGTTGAATTAATCGGATTTGAAACAAATATGCATATATTTACTTTTAGTTTAAAATTTTCCAGAAAAGCAATTTTTAACACGCTGGTGTTGACAAATCACTTGATATGTTTTAGAATTTTTTTTTTTTTGAAGGGGACAATAATTTCAGCAATTACTTGCCAAATATAAGGTGAACACCTTTTTTAAATCTTTTTTTTTTTTTTTTTTTTAACTAAACCGTAATCTTAAGTTTTAAGTAAATATTTTATGCAATCAAATATTTTATTGAATTTTAGGTATTTGGTTTTAATGTCTAAATGCTTGCTGAGGAAACTGACCGTTAGGAATTAATACAGAATTTTAAAAGATTTAAAATTTATAAATTATTCTAATTAATATTTTTAAAAAATGAAAAAAATCCTGTAAAAATTCAATATTCATCGAATTTTTTTCTTAAGCCCCGACAATATATTTTATACATAAAAGCAATTACAAGCCTTTCTAATTAAATTATGTCTTATTTTTATTACATTTTTATTTTACGATTTTTGGTAACTGGGGGTCATGTCTGCCCCCCACCCCATATCATGATTTAAAGACTTGTCTGTATAACTAATATAAATATTAAAGGCTAGAACAAAGAATTTCTCAAAATGTAATCTAATTAAATAGGTGCTGGCGACCGATATATATATATATATATATATATATATACACACACACATACACACACTCTCTCTCTCACATACACAAACACACACACACACACACACACACACACACACACACACACACACACACATATATATATATATATATATATATATATATGTGTACACGCACACACGCACGCACACACACATACATCTATTTACAAAGGGAAACATTTAAAAAATAATTTTATTCCTTAATGAATAATGTCCTGAAAGTTTCATTAAAATCAGACAATTTGATTTTTGCAAGAATTTCCAAATCAATGTGTATTTCACTGAAAAAAAAACGTTCAAATTTCCTATCCTAATTCATACGATGCCAAAAAAAGCAACCAAAATTTAACCATAGTTCTAAAAAAGATACAAATACAAGTTAATAATAAATATTTAATAGTTTAAAATAATAATTTGATAATTATCTTACCACTTAATAATAACAAAGATTTTGTGGATAAAACTTTGTTTTTATTCAGTTTGCGCATGGCCAACTAGTAATAGACAGCCCAAAATGTCACATAATAAGATGAGAATGCCTATGTAATGTTAAAAAAAAAAAAAAAAAAAAAAAAAATGACTGCTTAGAAAATTGCTAATCTAAAAGGGAGGTAACTTAAAAAATTGAATTCTTAGAACGTAAACTAACAACGTGCAATTACGTAGAATTTTTCAGACGTTATTTCCTGGACATATTTCCAACACAGAAATGCATATTCACCCACCACGATTTTTTTTTCTTTTTTTACTAATCCATAAAATATAAAATTCTGTGAGTAACTTCGCTTTTATGATTTTCATTGCGTGTACAGCCCGTTTTGTAATTAGGCAAATTTTCTACCTCATAGTCCATTGCATTTAAAGATTAAAATATAAAGTTTGTTGTTACATTTTGTTTAACAAAAATGGTTAAGGCAATATATGTCATAATAGCGGATCGATTACAAATTAAAATTTAGCTTAATTTATTGATTTTAAACGGAAAGGAAGAATGCGGATTCTCTGTTGTTCATTTCATTTTCTTATCTTCGACATAATTTTGTTTTTACTTGTGATCAACACACTGATAAAGAAATTCACTTTGCAGCATAAATTGTTGTGAATATATTTTACAACAACAAATGAAAGTTTTCATCAGATGAAGTTTGAAAAAAATATTGTAGAATGTTTTAAAAAAAGGCAAAGGTCAAAAGAAAATTGATTTATAGAAGAACTGTTGTTAATTTTTTTTTTACTTGTATTTGTTTTGAATTACTGCTTAATTCTTTAATAACTTTTTTGTTTGTTTACAATCTTTTATTATTACTTTTCTGTTTAAAAAGAGAAAAAATAACCCGTTTGTGTATTTTTGGATGGTTTTAAATGTTTTAGATAAAACAGGCATAAATTGACTATAAATCAAATAGGCCTATTAGAAATTAGTCTGAAATGTGACATGTGGGGCCATATATATTAGTAGGCCGGGGTTTGGGATATTTTTTCATACTGTATGCTCGTCCGTGAGTGAATCTTTGGAGGCAAATAAACAAACACATACACACGCGCACACACACACACACACACACACATATATATATATATATTATAAATTAAAATATGTTTTTTTTCGCTACACGGTTCTAACCATGTTTCAAAAAAATGGAAGCTGAAAGCTCCGAATTTAATTTTGTAATTAAATTAAAAAGACATTAGTTCCATTTCATCCTCAAGCGAATTTTGGAGTAACTTTTAAAATTACTGGGTTTTAAAGCCACAGCAAAAATCATAATTCACCTTTCCAAGGATACAGAGAAATCCAATTCAACCAGACAAGGGGTGTTTGCGTGTTCATTATCGCTGTATTTTGATGTATCAGTTATTAGTTACATTTTGGTAGGGGTAGGGATGGATTTTGCAATGAAATCTGACATCCGTTAAATGCTTGTCGTCTGAATTTAAAAATTTTTTTTTTGTTAACGGCAAAAATTCTTACGGCATTTTTTTCTATTTGTATATTTAAAGATTTTTGGGGGGTTGTTTAGATTAGAATACGTTTTATTTAACTACGATTTGAAAAATATTTTCACTTTTAATTTTTAATATACTATATGACAATGACGGCAAAAATAGCCAATTAATTTCACTGATTTAATAAACTTTTATTTTTTATATAAACCTAGTAATATATTGTTTCTCATGTAATATCTATAAGAACACCGGATTATATGTCTTACTGTTCTTTCTTTTTATTTATATATACATACATACATACATACATACATACATACATATATATATATATATATATATATATATATATATATATATATATATATTCAAGTCATGTAAATGTTGCATACATGCATACTGTTTATTATAAACATATATATATATATATATATATATATATATTATATATTATGAAATTTTCTCGATGTTCAAGTCGTAAATGTTGTTAATTATTATAAACAGTTTATAATAATAATATATATATAATAATAATATATATAATATTAGTCAATACATATATATATATATATATATATATATATATATATATATATATATATATTTTCCAAGAGAATAAAATCCAGGTAGAGATCTATGGCAAAGATGGTTTAAATGAGTTAGATACAAATAAATATGAGTTATTATCAGCTGCATAATTCGACTATCGATACGTTGATCTAAATTTAAAAACTATACCCCGGAAAAGATACATTTGGGGTAACATTTGGCACGATAAATGATTATACGATCCAAATTTAAAGTCTAGCTAATTATATATATATATAGTTATGCGATGATTTTGTGAAGCTGGAAGTTCATATCAAGAGGTTGAAATGAACACTCTGCATACCGAGATTGATGAACTTCAACTTCATAATGACAGCTCAGACAAACTACTCAAGAAACTGATCAGAGATAATCAGGAATTACTGGTAAAAGAAAATATGGAGAAATTAACTGAGAAACGTCTCCGAGACTCTTTTTATGATAAAGCTTATCAAGAGTTAAGCCAGGAAGAAGGGAAACTTCAAATTGAAACAACAATGAAGGAACGCCAACATGAGATCAACATTCATAAGGACATGTTAATGTCACAGATTAAGTTTACTAAAACAGAAACGCAAGAAATCAGTTTGGAATTCCAAGAACGAAAGGCCAAGATAGGTAAACTGCAAAATCGCCTTGATATCTTGATGATGTCAATGGCTCCACCTGAAGGGGAAGAGGCAAAAAGCCAAGCATACTATGTGATTAAAGCTGCTCAAGAAAAGGAAGAACTGCAGAGGTTTGGTGATGAGCTGGATGCCAAAATTTGAAAAACCTAGAAGGAAAACCAAGCACTTGATAATGCCATCAAATTACTCAATACAAGCAATGAAAGCTTCAGAAAGTCATTCAATCGTGTGCCTGATTCATGTGAAGAAATGACAGAAAAACGGCTGGTTGAAGAGAAACTCAGAGCAGTTCAAGAGGAAATACGACATAAACGACGACAGGTAAGAGAAATTGAGCAATATATATATATATATATATATATATATATATATATTATATATTAAAAATATGATTCCATCGCTCTACTTTTCTATCAAGCACTGTTTTTAAAAAAAATAACAAAAATACTAAAGAACTTTGGATTATTTACCTACCGAGTTCTTTCCTATTAGGTTTAATTACAAAAATAATGACGTAATAATGTCGTTTTTTGACCTTAAAAAATACGTCAAAAAACGACATTATTACGTCATTATTTTTGCACCAACCTATATATTTTCACACAAACAAACAAACACACACACACACACACACACACACACACACACATATATATATATATATATATTTCGACTTTCCCGTTGAATTCGGGTCAAGCAGATCAGTTCCTAGGTGCCGACAGCCGGACACCAGCACATGAGCACCCACCTGTGGTTTATACTGCAACTGAGTGAACCTTAGTTACAGTTTCTGGGAGAGACCGCGTTATCTAGGTTGATCAACAGCCATAACAAGGCAATCACGCTTACACCCTCGGTCACGATGACTTGCTCGCACTACCATCAAGAAGTTACCTTCCTCACCGATCGCCCATGATAAGATTCGTACCTGGGTCACATAGTCAGAAACCGACGTTCTAACCACTAATATATATATATATATATATATATATATATATATATATATATCAATTTCACCCCAAGCAAGGTAGTAAAACAATTATAACAAAAGGGGTTACTGAGTGTGGAAAGATTAATAATGAGTGGGAAGAGAAAAGAGTAAGTGATCAGGAGGATAGTAGATCGCGATTGATATTGCATTTAAATTTTTGGAGATTAAAGTTGACTGGAAATCATGGAGCCGAAAGGGAGTTCCATAAGCAAGAAGTGCGAGAAAAAAAACTGTTAGCTGTCAGTTGATGAGATCTCGACGCCAGTTTAGTACTGTACCTAAATTTTAAAAGTATAGGCACCATAGCGAGGAGTTCATCTGAACGATTACTATACAGTAATTATAGAAAAGACAGAGGGAGGCAATCTTACAGCGGTGGGAAAGTGACTGAAGCCGAGCTTCCAGATCAGGACTAATAATATTGCTGATTCTTCTTTGGATTTTATCAAGGAGCTCAAGATACATAGCAGGGATATCGGACCATATGTGGCAGCAATATTTTAAGCATGGACGAATGGTAGACATAGATATGTTTGGGGAGAAAAATTGCCATGCACGACACAGTATATATATATATATATATATATATATATATATATATATATACTTTGAATGTACGCTCTTTAGCGCTAGAGGGCGTCGTCAGTGATGTTCTGGAAATGGATCATTGGGCAGTTTCGGGTCTTTCAAACCTCATACTGACCTCACCAAATTGACCCCCTTCAGAGCTGATCAGACTCTGAAACGCCCTCTAAAAATGCTTGTAGACACTGACTTCTATAAATCTACCCCGTTATCACACATTTGATTGGAGATTGACCAACAGCCAATCACAACGGTGCGAAATCTATTTAAGCTGTTTACGGGTGATATTTTTCTTTTTTTCATTTTTCAGTGGACACCCCTTCAATTTCTATCATGTACATCATTGCTTGAACCGGCTTCTAATGCTCTAGAGTGAGCGGCTTGGTGAGAATAGTCGTGGCTCCAGGGGGCACAGTCCTATGGTTACAGAGAACTCAGTAAGAGTTCCATCACGGAATATATGATCGAGTGGCGCTATATTGAGTCTGATTTGCAATCTCTTCGTCACCGAGGCCCATTGGAACAGTTGGTATGATGTTTGCTTGACAACCTAACTGTCAGGGTTTCAATTCTCGGTAGTGGATGCGCACTGCAGATAAGTCCCAAATATAGGACGAAACGGCCGTCCAGTGCTTTCTGCATTCTGTTGAGGTTTCTTTCAGTCTCCATGAATTACTTAAATATAATTATCAAATCCTTCTAACAATTTCTATTATATATATATATATATATATATATATATATATATATATATATTAATTAATTATGGTCGTCCTACAATCGGCATTAGTAGTCGTCCTACAAACGGCATTCCCGTAGATTTTCCGCTGACGAGAGTGGTAAGGCACAAAGCAGGAATAAAAGCAATATTTCTCAAAGAACTTTCTTGTGGCATCAACATCCACGTAGATTGATCTCTATGTATGCAGCCAGGGCGTTGATAACATGGCGTAGATAGACGGAGGGTTTCTGGACTGAAACCAACGCCCAGGGCAGAAGAGGTTCCTCTGATGGAAGCAATGGCCATATGTCCGTGTCCTAAGCGACATACAATAGCCGTGGTTTGACTTGCTAGAGGGATTGGCTCCATCAGAACTATTTACCATACGTAATATGCCTGAACGAGTAACTCCAAAGCTTTTAACCCAGATACGTGGAGGTAACTGGTAAATTGATTAGTTGCCTAGAGACCCTACAACCACTTCCGGTCGTGGGAATAATGATAGATTTTTTTTTAAATCCATGTTACAGGACTGACAGGGTAACCATTGGCTTTCCTTGATTTATTCTAGTGAGTTTTCCGATTTGGTACCTGGAATTTACGAATTTAACCTAGATTGGTAGCTAGATCTTATAATTCTACATTAGAAATGTATAGATATAACTGTAAGTTCTATGCTAAGAGTACATGTGAGAACTAGTCAGAGAGAACTACATAGAGACTTTAAGGTATTATGGTGACTGTAGTAAGAATGTTAAGTAAGAATGCGTTTTGGTGTAAGGAATACTGTGGTAGATTTGGGTCAGTAATTGTGTCTAGTTAAGACAGATTCAAGACCAGCCTTCCCCTAATCCCCCACCTTTGGCCTTGTAACATCAGAATTAATGCAATATTATTTATTTCCGATCTAAAAAGAATAATCTTAGTACAAAATGAATATACAATGATTACATCCTTGACCCGGGTTTATATCAGTAGAATTCTTTGCCAGACTATAATGAAGCAACGAAAATTCTAGAAAAAAAATGAAGCAATGAAAATTCTAAAAAAAAAAATGATTTCTAGAAATATTTTCATTACTTTTCTTTTTCTATTTTCCAATGCAACGGTAATACAGAAATCATTTTAGAATCATTTTGTACTGAGATTATTCTTTTAGATTGGAAATAAATCATAGATAGATACTCTATACCAAAACATTTGATGATTGCTAAATGAACCTTTCTAAAAGATATATATATATATATATAAGAATGGAAAGGAATATACAAGCAAAGATTTCCTGCAAGAAATAAAACTTCTTCAAGTAAGGTTAATGTTGAAGAGAGGAGAAAAATTAAAACCAATGAATGAAAGATCGATGAAGTTTATATAATATCCGTGAGACGATATTAAGGTAATAATATCGAATTAGGAGGCACGGTGGAGAAATGGCGAGCAGCTCAGATTGAGGAATCGGAGAGCCGAGTTCGAATACCAGTCGAATTCATTACATTCATTTACATTCTAATACCCTTGGGAAAGCTATGAACAATCTTCTCCCCAACCCCCAGCTATGGATAAATAGCAGGACAGACCGGGTTCTATAGCCTTGGATGGGAACTTGTCTACTGCAAAAAGAAAAAAAATCTGCCTCGTCAGTCATGTATCGAAGGATACATGATTGCCTGAGCGTGTATCACGCATGGAACATAACTGACTTAATATCGAATAATAATTTTTTCAGGGGTGTTGCATGGATCAAACGCATTTCACTCTGGCTTTTATAATGAATTATAGATAAAAATTTATGTGGCATAAATAAACATATGACTGACAAAAAGGATCAACAATATTTTTAAGAAGTCTAAATTTCGATTACCTAATTGATAATCTCTTAATTTCTATCTATTTATCTATCTATCTATCTTTCCACTTTCTTTCTTTCTTTCTTTCTTTCTCCACTTTCTTTCTTTCTTTCTTTCTTTCTTTCTTTCTTTCTTTCTCCACTCTCTTAATATCTATCTATCTATCTATCTATCTATCTATCTATCTATCTATCTCCACTCTCTTAATTTTTATCTATCTATCTATCTATCTATCTATCTATCTATCTATCTATCTATCTATCTAG